GATAGATAGATAGATAGATAGATAGATAGATAGATAGATAGATAGATAGATAGATAGATAGATAGATAGATAGATAGATAGATAGATAGATAGATAGATAGATGGATGGATGGATGGATGGATGGATGGATGATTGGATGGATTGGATTAATGGGTGGATGGATGGATGGATGGACGGACGGACGGACGGATGGATAGATGGATGGGTGGATGGATGGATGGATGAGGCTGATCTTGGAATGTCAACGTCGCCAGAAATGCTGACAGGATGTCTGGTTGACGTTTGATCAATGCTCTGTATGGTGTATCTTTTGCTTGACTTCCCCTACCCCTTTTCACACAGACACACACATAATATATACATTTATAGTTAAATATCAATTTTCAATTTGTCTTTATAATTTTTTTTTTCCTTTAATTTTTTACATTAAATTTTCAGTAAAAATGTTACTAACTTTTATTTCCTTACTTTAATTCCTTCTCAGTATTTGATTCGGTTATTCTCTGGGTCAATATATGTCTGTACTGCAATACGTATACGTCTCTGCCTATGTTCTCTACTAAACAGACTGCATCTTATATACTAATATTTTCCGTGGCGTGTTCATCAACAGTCAACGTGGCAACAGCCTAGATCAGTGTTGTACGCGTACCCCTCTGGTACGGGAAGAGTTGTGTTGGGGGGTTGGGGGGGGGGGGGGGGGGGGGGGGAGGTGTACGCGTTGAATATGAAAAATAAATCAATTTTTTTCTTAATTTTTTTTTGAAGCATATGCAACTACGAAAATTATAGACAGGAGTACACAGAAGTTGAAAGTTTGGGAAACACTGGCCTAGATCGATGTTTTTCATTTTAGTTTAACAATGTGAACTCATTATTGATAATGTTTCTGTGGGAATTCTTACTCTAATGAAATCTTTTGTTAGTGCACGGTATCTCTTTGTGATGGAATGGATTGTCCCTATTGTTCCTGTACGACGCACAGCTATTGTGAAGTCTATTGATTCGTCATTGAGTGTCTGGCGTGGTCCAACATTAAATCAGTTAAGAAGAATAGTGTTAGAACGATTAATTATTTTTTTTAAACCTTTGGAACCAATAAACATTTTTGTTCAACGACAATTAAGAAAATATTGATCAACACATTTAAAAATTTAATCTGGTGTAGACTTGTGCATCTGTTCTGTGCAAACTGTGGAAAATTAATTTTTTATATCTTTCGGCTCAACGCCAAAATCGACTGCATTGAGACCATCGATGCTTCGTCTTGATAATGCTCGTTACTAAAGTAGTACCGCAATGTCTCTTGCTAGCATGTGGTGAGATATGTCGGGGAGATCAGATGCAGATTATTTTAAATCACACTCACATATTAAAAAACACAATTTAAAAAAAAAACATGTCTGCCCCACCGAGGATCAAATACAATCCTTTTGGGAGAGTGCTTAATCTGTGAGCAAACGGGTACTTCCATTAGACTTAGTCAAGATGACTAGAGTTAGTCAAGTGTATGACCACCAGTATGGGAATATGTATATCTATCTATCTATCTATCTATCTATCTATCTATCTATCTATCTATCTATCTATCTATCTATCTATCTATCTATCTATCTATCTATCTATCTATCTATCTATCTATCTATCTATCTATCTATCTA